CGTGACGGGGGCACTGGGACCAGTGCTGGCACTGGTAGGGATGTAACAGGGGCACTGGTACCAATGCTGGTACTGGTATGGACATGACAGGGGAGCTGGTACCAATGCTGGTACTGGTATGAATGTGACAGGGACACTGGGACCAGTGCTGGTACCGGTACAGACGTGACAGGGGAGCTGGTACCCCTGCTGGTACTGGTGCTGGTATGGATGTAACAGTACTAGTACTGGTATGGGTGTGGCAGGGGTGCTGGTGTGGACATGATGAGGCACTGGTACCAGTGTTGGTACTGGTATTGGTGTGAGTGCTGGTACTGGTATGGGTATGACAGAGGCACTGGTACCAGTGCTGGTGCTGGTATTGGTGTGACAGGGCGTTTGTACCAGTGCTGATGCTGGTACTGGTATGGGTGTAAGGGGGGCACTGGTATCAGTGCTGGTGCCAGTACTGGTATGGGCGTGAGAGGGTCACTGGTACCATTGCCAGTGTTGGTACCAGTATGGCCATAATGTGGTGCCAGTATTAGACTGGGTGTGACAATAATGTAACTGGTACTGGCAGAGGCACAACAGGGGGACCAGTACCCATACCATACTCATACTGGTGCTTGCATGGGAAGGGCACCAATATTATTTCCCTTACTGGAACAGTCATGGGCACGTTCAGAACACTAGTACTCTTAGTGGTGGTCACAGTTGCAACAGGAGCTCCAGTGCTGGTGCTCATACCCTTGTGAGTGTGACAGCAGCAGCAGTATCCATGCTTGTACTGCTACCATTGTGGGCATGATGGGGAACCAGTACTGGTACTCATTCTTTGTACAACAGGAGCACTGGGATTGTACTGGTACCACTGTGGTCACCACCTCACGTGGGTATGATGGGGAGGACACTGGTACCACTAATGACATGGGATCAGTGGTACCATTGCAGCGTTGGTAGTGGTACTACTAGTGCATGTGTGCAGCAGGGGCACTGTTACCAGTATCACTGTGGAATCAGTAGGGTATGGTACTGCAACTGGTACCAGCAAGGGTATGAGCCTGGTACTGGTGTGGGCACAAGGGGGCACTGGTTACCAGTGGAGGAGGAGTGAGGGCCCAGCAGTGGTACCAGTATAGGCACCACCTGCCCAGCACTGGAACCAGGATGGTGCTGGCAGTGGTAGGATAGCGGGCATGGCTGTGGCAAGCTTCCAGTGCCAGGACCAGCACAGAGGAGTGCAGGCATAGATGGGCATGGCACCAGTATCAGCACTGGTCTCAGCACAGCACCGGTGCCAGCAGGAGCTCTCTCCCTTTGCAGGGCTTTCTTCTGGCTGGTGTCACTGCTGCTCTCCTCCCTCATCTGGTTTATCGCAGTCAAAGCCAGCGACCCCCAGGATGAGCCATTGCAGAAGGGGCTCTTGATCTTTGGGGTGATGTTCTCTGTGCTGCTGCAGGAGGCCTTCCGCTTCCTCTACTACAAGCTCCTCAGGTAAGGGCATCTCCCACCCTGCTCCAGAGCTGCCGATGGTCCTACTGGCCATGGTGGGTGCCAGATTGTGGCTGGGAGCTCCTGGGCTGGGGATGATGCTGAGCATGGCACCAAGCCACCTTGGTACCTGCTGGGAGCACACAGATGGTACCTGTGTGGTATGTTGACCTCGAGTGGGTCTCAGGTGGTGGAGCAGAGCAGCATTAAGGCCTGGAGCATCCAGCACTGAGATGGCTGATAGCATGTCCCTGGTTTTGGTACAGGAGGCTGTGGGTTTGGGCAGTTGCGGGATGTGTCACATCCCCTCTGCCCTGGTGAGTAGCACCAACAATGCTCCTGCATTGGGGGTATGCCAAGCAGGACACTAGGCACCAGGGAAGTGCCCACTTTCTGTGTGGGGACAGAGAAGGGTTAGGGATCTGCCCTCACCTCCTGGCAAGTCTTGTTTCTTTCTTAGGGATGGTTTTGTGCCGGTACAGCCCAAAGGTGGTTTAGGGGCTCTGTGTAGCAGCACATCACTGCTGGCCCTGTGCCCTGGCCAGCCCAGGACAAAGTCTCAGTGCAGCCTCAGCAGCTCCCAGCCTCCTTGGCACCACCAGCATGGAGCTTGTGCTGCTGTGGGGAGAGCACACCCTGCACCCTGCCCTGCGTTCGGATGGACCCTGTGCTGGGGCTGTCAGGCAGACAAGGGAGGCGATGCTGCGGACAGCATCCCTCATGTCCCCCAGCCTTCCTGGCTGGCTGGGCAGTGGCGAGGGGCTGTGGGAAGGCCAGGACTGGGTATGCAGGCTCGCACAGTTCCCTGCAGCAGGGCTGCTGGAGGCAGGTAGGCAGGCAAAGGGTGGCAGAGCTCTGCGGGGCAGCTTCTAACACAAACACAGCGTTTCATTTGCCCTGTGGGTCTCTGAAAGCTCTGCTGTCCTCCCCCCGCTCAGCAGCCACCCGGAGTGCTCCTTACCTCTGGTTGATAAAAACTATGAACCTCACGTCGCCCAGTTTCCCTCCCCAAAGCTTTTTTTCTGCTCTTTGAGCTCTTCCTGCACCCTCTCCTTTTTGTTCCATATATCCTCTAAGAATACAAATGCGGATATCAGGTATACCCTTCTGGCATGCTCCTCCCCTGCCTGCACTGGGACTGCTCTCTATACGAGGGTGCTGCTTGCTTTGTACCCAATGTCCCGCTCACCAGCTGGTGCTCACATTCCTCTGTGGAAAATCTATGTGACTTCCCATGGTTTTCATGTGTGGTTTGTCCAGTGGTTTAGGGTGGTTACGTAGATGCTCTCTGATGGGTGTTGCACCTTGGGGAGGTTACCTGGAGAGTGGGATGGTGCAGAGTGAGACCTTGGTCCCATCTGCTCCATCCTGGTGGTGCACCATGCTCCAGCATGCTCTCATCCCACAGGAAGGCCATCGAGGGGCTGGTGGCTCTCAGCGAGGATGGCTGCTCCCCCATTTCCATCCAGCAAATGGCATATGGTGAGTGCTGGCACCCTGACTGTGGAGCCAGGGGTGAACTGAGGCCGGGCTGGGCACAGTGCTGGGGGAAGGGGAGGTTTCTCTCACTGAAGTGCCTGGGGTGGCCCTGGGAGGCTCGGGGCCTGACAGTGTCCCTTTCCTGCAGTGGCTGGTGTGGGCTTTGGGCTCATGAGCGGCGCCTTCTCCATGATCAATCTCCTGGCAGACTCATTAGGGCCCGGCACAGTGGGCATCCACGGGGACTCGCAGCTATACTTCCTGACCTCAGGTGGGTGACCAGCACCCTTCCCTCACATCCCTGCCCCACCACAGAGGCAGCAGATGTGGGGGGACTGGAGTTTCCACTAATTCTATCCCCTCCATGCTGCACCCTCTACCTCTCTGAGACCCTTACAGTCCCCTGTCACATCTCTCCATCCCAAACCCTTCTTTCTGTCCACTGTGACCCTCCTTGCTCCTCTCCCTCATCCCTCTCATGCTTGGTTTCTGCCCCAGCACCTCCCAGTCTAGCCCAGCAGTGCCCCTAGCCTGCAGGCCAGGTCAGGGTGGTGGTTCCTTGGTGACACCCCTCTCCCTGCAGCTTTTATGACCATGGTGCTGATTTTCCTTCACACTTTCTGGGGGATCCTCTTTTTCCACGGCTGTGAGCACCGGCGCTGGTGGGAGATCGCAGCGGTTGTCATCATGCACCTTGCTGTTTCAGGGTCGGTGAGTAGCTGGGAGCAGAGCACTGCACCAGGACCTGTATTTGGGGTTGGTGTGGTGCGTGGTGGTCCCTGTGCCCGGGGGGGAGAGCAGCCTTCAGCACTAGTGAAGCAGTTGGGTTTGTGAATCCTGGAGCTGGTGTCCCTTCTCCCGCTGCACTCACCGAGGTGGTGATCACCCATCCTGTCCCTGTCCTCTCCTGCCTGCTCACCTCTCTCCTGCCTTTCTCCCCAGACATTTTGCAACCCCCTGTACGTGGGCAGCCTCGTGCCCTCCTACCTGATGATGGCCACTGCCGCTGTCTGGGCTTACATACTCTCGGGGGGATCTGCCCAGAACCTGAGGCGCTTCCTGCTCTGTAAGTCCTGCTTCATAAAGGGGGTGGGCAACCCTATGGGTCCTTCTGGGTACCAGGACTGGTGCTGGGATGGGGAGAGCGTATCCCTGGGGCTGAACAAGGGTGTCACAGAATCACAGAATGGTTTGGGTTGGAAAGGACCTTAAGATGACCTAGTTCCAACCCCCCTGCAGTGGGCAAGGACACCTCACACTAGACCATGTTGTCCCAGGTTCTGCCAAACCTGGCCTTGAACACTGCCAGGGAGGGAGCATTTACCACTGTCACACTCTTGGTTGCCATTCTGAAGGAGAATCTGGGTCTTGGAGCTGCTGCGATCAGGCTGTTGCCTGTCCTGGGGGAATGGGATGGGGTAGGGAGTCTGGTCAAAACTAAGCCCCTCTCCTACTGGTTCCTGCAGGTCTACGGAGTGGAGCCAGCCCTCAGCTGGGATCCTGAGGCCCTGTGGGATGTTCCTGTCCCAGCCACCCCTGCCCTCCCCTCCATCCTGGTGGCAAGAGCAGCTGTCACCTTCTCTGCAATACCTTTTCTCCCGGACTGAGGGACCCCAGCCAGTCCCAGCAGGGTAGGCACTGGGGTCCAGCTGTGGCCCAGCTGTGGCAGCCAGCTGAGCAGCGTGGCTTTGGGAGCCCCCAGAGAACAGCTCGGTTGTGGGGAACCCAGCTTTGCTGGCCCTGCCACAAGCAGAGCCCCAGTAAGCCTGCTGGGAAAGATGCTACCTTGGACTGCTGGAAGCCTGAGCCCAAAGAAACCCATCGCTTCTCCCGCTGCTGCAGAAGATGTGCTGTCCCCTGTGGTTCGGGGGGGCCGCATCACCTCCTCGCTGCAGGGTGGAGGAAGTGGCTTTGCAAAGCACTGCCATGCTCTGGGTCAGGGGTGACGGCTCTGGTGCTGCTTTCTCCACCTCTTTGACCAGCCTCGCTGCCCTGGGAGCCACCACACTGGCGCTGAGCCACAGTAGCTGCAATGAGCTGGCATCCTGGTGCAGGGAGGACGGTGCTTGGGGATCCGAGGGGACTGACAGCATTGAGAACGGGAGGAGGAATGGGAACACATGGTGTCCAAAGGCCCCAGCGTTGATGGAGGGTGGTGGAGGGCTCAGGAGGTGATGCAATGCTGCAGCTGGGGCTGGCACAGCTTGGGGAGGGGGTTCAAGGAGCCATTCCAGTGGATCGTTGTCCTCTCCTGCACTTCAATGGGGATTTTTAGGCAGGCACCAGCCCTGATGCTGTGCCACAGGGCTGGGAGGGAGAAACTGCCATTGGGCTCAGGGCTGAGAAGGCAGTTTTATCCACCGTGGGCTTTTATACCAATAAAAAGAAGTACCATAGAGAAGTGGTGCTGTGTGTGGCTGGCAGTGCTGCCCTGCTAGGGAGCAGTGGTGGCACTGCCTTATGCTGGTGTGACTGGTTGGCAGGGATCTGGCATTTGCAGATCTTGCTCCTGCTCTGTCCATCCTAAAGGGCTGGGCTCTGGTTTGATTACTTTGGGATCTGGAGACCTGCAGGTTCTCCCCTTCTCTCAGGCCTGTTTGTCTCTGTTTTGGCATGGCTGTATTTCTCGCTGGGGCTCAGCTCCAGCTGCACTGGAACCACCAGGAAAGGTGGGAAGCAACCAGCGATCTGGGATTCCTCCAGCTACACTAGAACCAGAGATGAGCTGGGTAGGGGCTGGCCAGCAAGGAAGCAGTGGCTCTACACATTCATCTCTGCCTTTCTCCAGCCCTACCAAGCTGTGACTATGTTTTCCCAATGCTTTGCATAAATAAGAGGAGGAAGAAGTCCCAGAGTGATGGAGGGCAGGGCTGGGCTGTGCGAGGAGCCCTGCGCTGCTTGCTCTGGAGCTCTGCCCAGGGCATGGAGGCTGATGCTGTCTCTGCTGGGATGCGCGCCCATCTCTACTGTGGGTCCAGCTCCCTTTCCCACCTCACAGCACAGAGGGCTGGCACCAGGGAAAGGTTTGCTTTTTACTATTAATTTTTTTAATAGGTTTTTACCCTTTTTATAACAAAAATATCTGCTGGGGCCAAATGATGCCCCAGGAAACCAGTCCGTGTGGGCAGCCCGAGCAGCCGAGGGGTGCTGGAGCACTGCTGGGGTGGGAGTGAGGAGAGGTCGGGGTGACAGGCTGAGCCGCTGTGGCTGGGGCCACCACAGAGGTGCGGGGCTCATGCGGTGTTCTCAGTGGTGGCTGCAGTGTAGATGACCTTGGATTTCGTTGGCGAGTCCAGCCTGGATGGGGTAAGAACAGGGGTGAATGTTAGAGCAGGTAAAAGGTCCCTGCTAAGCCATCCTGCTGCCCAATAGACCCTTGACTCATACCCAGGACCTGTGCTACCCCCCAGACCCCTCCTCCTGCAGCTCCCCTTTGCTCACCGTGTGTTCTGGCTGCGCTGCTTGTAGATGTACAGCAGGAAGGCCAGTGCTGTGATGGCAAAGAGCACCCCGAAGAGCACGGCCAGGACATCCCCTGCAAGCAAAGCACGAGAACGTTACACTGGGCTAGTCCCCAGTGGCTACTGGTCAAGAGAGATGGGGCTGGGCTGAAGCCCAAAGACAGAGGGGACACAAAAGCCTCAGCTGAGCACACCTACCTGCTTGAAATGAAGAGCTGGAGTGTTCCTCTGCAAAGGAGACAAAGACGAGGATGAGACCCTGCTGCCTGGATACAACCCACCATGGCAGCCAGCCCCTCAGCTCAGCACATGGGTGTCAGGACCCCCCTTCCCACGCAGGGACCCCCCCAACTGCCTTCCCCTCCTTCATGCCAGCTCTTCACTTACCTGGTGCAGCTGAGCTGTCACTACCTGAAAGAGAGACAGCAGAGTCAAGAGGAGAGTGTCAAGCCTGCAGGACTTCGGGCTGAGAAGGTTCCTCATGACCCCTCAAGATGCTGTGAGCTGACACCCACCAGAAGCACTGGGGGACTAGGGAACAAAAAGGATCCCGGACCCGCAGCCCACACAAAAGCCTTGCTGAGCCCAACCATGAACTCCTCCATGGCTCCGGAAGCAGGCGGGCAGGGGGCTGAGCACTGCAGCACCCCATCACTGCACCAAACCCCACAGGAGACCCCCAAAAGGAGCAGCAGCCTGCAGTGGGACGGTGAGCAGCTCCTTAGGGGGAGGCGGCTGGCCATGGCTGGCAGGGCACCTGCATAGGGATGGCTTGGTGTCAGCCCCACGCATGGGTGGCAGCTGAGCAGGCAAATATTTACCCGCATGACAAGCATGGCTTTAAGCAGCTGCATTGTGTTGGGTATCGCGCAGACTGGCACTATCTGCAGCCTGGATCCAGCTGTGCGGCTGCTGTGAAAGCTGCCGCCTTCTCCCAGCAGCCAGGGCAGGAGCTGAACTGGAGGTGACGGGGGAAAGATCAACAAGTGTGGGTGCTTGTGCTGGCAAGCGAAGCCAGACATGACCTCACAGTACTCCAGCGTGGTGTACACCAACTCCAGGGCTAAAGCAGACAGTTACCAGCACTGAGGTGGGGTGAAAACCCCAACAATGCCATGCACACAAGGCAAGGGACCAGTAACCTCGTCTGGGAGTGCTGGGGCAGCATCCTGGCATTCCAGAAAGAAAGGCTTTGTTAAAGTGGGGGTTGTTGAATAGAAATATCAAATAAGGAAAGAAAAGGGGGGTAAAAATAAAGAGAACCGGGCAACTCCCCACCTTGCCCCAGCCTTGGAGGCTTTGAAACAGCTTCTGCAAGAAAGGGGTAAAAGAAAAGCTTGGAGGTAAATGGAAAATATGATAAAGTATCTAGCACGTTTACCAAAGATAGAACATGCCAGCCTAACCCGATATCCTTCTTTGATAAGTGATATTCTAGACAAAGAAAATGCAGTAGATCTTTATCTGTCGCGCCTTCAGAGAAGCATTTGATGCTGTGCCACATGGGGAACTGCTAGCCAGGCTGAGGACCACGGTGATTAAAAGCCTGCAGCCATTAGCAAGCTGGCTGCAGGTGGGACGGTGAAGGGAAGTGCCTTTCACCGTGGTGTGTGGTTACCGAGGGCTGGGACCAAGCTTGTGTGCTGATTCTATTCGTCACCTTGACACAAGGTGTAGGAAATGCCCTCAAAACAGAGAAGGAACAGGATGTTGGGCAGAAAAAAAGCTGGTGACCTCTGAGAGCAGCAACAGGCAAGAATTCAGCGATGCAGAGCGATAGTCACACCTGAGGGCTAACAGGAATGTTGCTGGAAATCACCAGTGCAGGAAAGACCTTCGAGGACAAGCTGAGGACTGGCAGACAGGGATGCCTCAGGCAGAGCAAGCCTTCAGGAGGGTTCCCCTGCACTGCCCTTCCCACAGGGGTTGGTAATGGGTGCTTGCTGCAAGCCTGTTCTGCAGCTCCTACTGGGTTTAGCTGCTGTGTTTGGGGATGAAGAAGCTAGCTGGGATGCTAGGACCTAGCTGCTTGCCCTTGACCATAGAATCATGGAATAGTTAGGGTTGGAAAGGACCTTAAAATTGCCTAGTTCCAATCCCCTGCCATACATCCCTAGTCCTGCTATTCTTACTTCTGCAAGACCAAGGATAAAATATTTCCTAGATCTTCCTCAGGCAGCGTGCAAGAAGCACAGAAATAGGGTTGGAGCAGGACCACAACATCAGTGGGCAAGGCTAACCCATGCAAATGCTGGTTAAAGAGACGGGAAGCCTTAACTCCTCCTCTTTGCCCTGTGTCTGCATCCTGAGGACACCCAACACACTCCTTACCAGCAGGCAGCTGCTTTGGTGAAAAGAAGGTGGTCTGGAAGCTCGCCAGCACCCGTCGCCCATGCAGGCCCTGGATCTGCCGGTAGTTGCTCTGCAGAGGTTTGCCATCATCGTTCCTCAGGCTCGTTATCAGCTTCAACATCTGGAAGAAGAACAGCATGAGAAAGGCATCCTGCCTTTGGAAGCCAGGGGACTGGCTCCCATGGATGGGATGCATGGGTGGTGCATGGGCTCATCTCCCTGGCGGACCTGGTCACGAGAGATCAGCATGGTCTGGTTGAAGACTGTCCACTTCACTGTCTCGTAGCAGGGAGGGGTGGTCAGAGAGCCATTGTAGTGGTAGTAGTACTTCAGATTGGCAGGCAGCAGACCTGCGATGTTGAACCCAGGCACCCAGACTTCCTCACCTGGGAGAACAAACACCATGGGAATGAGACCAGCACAACCCTTTGGAGAACAACAGGCATGGAGATCATGGGTGGCTTGGCACTGCATGTGCCTGGGTCCACAATGCTGCCATCAATGCCAGCATTGTCCTGGAGGAAGGGGAAAGCACGTGCGAGCAGAGGGCAACTCGGAGGGCTGTTTCTGCACAAGCCGTGCGGTGCTCACCTTCTCACACCTGTACAGCACGTGCCTGCTGCAGCCTCTCCCTGTGTGCAGCAGGTTTCCCTGCTGGGCTGCAGCCCCTGAGACAAGTACTAGGTGGAACAGGGCCTTACCTTCTCTTTGGATTTGGTGCATATGCTCAAGGATTTCCTGATAGTACGGGTTGTCCCTTGGGCCCATCTGCAACACAGAGACCCCATGGTAATGACAAAGACAGGGGCTGAGTGGAGACCAGCCAGTGATGCTGGTGATGGCAGTGCCAGCAGGGAGGTATCATTCCCTGTAAGAGGCACTCTGTCCCGGTGACCCCTTCCTCCTACCAGGGTTGCTTTTTCCTCTGGATTGCCCTTTCTCTCCTCTTCTGCCCAGAAGCATTTGCACCTTTGCCAGCTCCCCAAACTGTGCCTGACTGCCCACCCCGATCCTATCCTCACCTTGCTCCCACTCCCTCTCACCCAGGGTTGGTCTATGGGACTCACCTCCAGGAAGGCTGCCAGTACGGCCAGGCCATCTGGATGGACCATTGCCTCCTTAAAGCTGTCATACTTGGTGTTGTAGTGGACCACATGGATCTGGAAGGGAGACACATGATGCAGAATGGGCACTGACAGGAGGTGCTTCTCCCCACAGGGCTGGGAGGAACATGCATTTGTGACAAGCATCCCTCCTAGGAGGGGAATATGCTGATGGGACTCAGAAAATGTGCTGCTGCAAAGCAGCAAGAGTGAAGGTCTGCCTGCTGGAACTTCCCTGGTCAGACACAGCAAACCAGCACTCTGCCCTAGATACCAGAGGTTGTACTGCTGAGCTGGGCTCAGTCGGAGGACAGGAGCTAGAGAAGGAGGGATAAAACCAGATGGGAGCTGGCTGAGCAAGAGGACAGTGTGTACAGAGTAAACAGCCCCTGCAGCTCCCAAAGCAGGCTGCTCACAGCCACCCCGGGAGCTGGCTTCCCTGGTCTGGGGACCACCACAGCTCCTGCTCCACCACTCAGGAATAGGCTGCAACATGGGGACATGGTGACAGGCAGCCGGCCCCAGACCACCAGAGCATCCTGTAGCGTGGTGTCCTCCTCACCTCTGACCACACGCTGCAGCATGAGTCTGGCTCAGCACCAAAGCATGGTCTCCTGCACTGAACTCTGCTGCTGCAGAGATACCCAGGGAGCAGAGATCCTGGCTGGGGTTATAGCAGTCACCCAGTGACAACCAGGGCCATGGGCTAGGAGCAAGACAGCACTCCAGCACCTTCCCTGCCCATCACCAGGAAAGGAGAGGATGGTGGGCTCCTTACTCACAAGGGCTCCTTACCTCCGCAGCAAAGCGGTGCCCGTTGATGGTGTGCTCCGAGCCCGGTCCTGTTGTTGCGCCCCAGTGCAGGTGTAGCTGCGCTGCTCGGTACTGCTGGGCATAACCACCAGTGATGGCCAGGGACTGCGGCAGCTCGAGGACAGCTGCAGAAGAAGAAGGGAGAGGTCAGTCAGTACAACACAAAGCCCGGTCCGTCCCACAGGTACACAGAGGAGGTGTCTCAAGGGAAA